GCCTAGAATAAAGATTGTGACGTTTTCAATAGTAAACAGGATGTAGACTATAATTAGCAATATCCAATAATAATTTCTTATATTTACGTGATAATATGTATATAAATTTACCGATTTATTTTAAATTAAGTGCCAGTGCTGTTACTACTACTTGTAACAAAAAAATTATAATACTATAAGGGACCCATAGAAAACTTCAATGACATGAGAGGCTATTATTGCGCAAACAATTTCTGAAGAATTACAGCAACTAGCAGAAATGACACAATTAACGTTTGAATTTTGAAGGAGCTTCATTTTAAAGACCAAGTTTTCTCAAACAGCCTTATGCCAGTTGAACAACTCGGCCTTCGAGCTAGATACTCCTGTTCCGACCAGTTATTTATCGCCTGACGGAACACATCCTAAAAGGACTAAATCAACCCAAGCTATAAGCACGGGGGCTTTATTCATCGATGTCGCAAAGGCATTCGACAAGGTCTGGCACAACCTGGCTTGCTTTACAAGCTGTTCGCACTCATATTGCCAGACATACCCGTGCACACCATCCGATCCTTCTTGTCGAGACGCTCCTTTCGGGACCGAGAAAGGGCACCCTCTCTACGAGTCGCTGTCTCACGGCTGACGATCTCCAAGACTCCTGCCTCTCCCTTTTGCCTTTTACGATCTATTTGAGAGATTTTCCAAAATACCCGCACGTTAATCTCGCGCTTTTGCGGATGACACGGTACTCTTTTATTCAGATAGAAATTTCGAGCAACTTGCGGACCGAGCCACCTCACTCCCAAACACAAAATGATAACACTTTTACTTCACGTTGCTCTTCTGTGAGGTCATGGTCCCCGAACAGTCCTGCCCATTCGTGCAGGAGCGAAAACTGTTGCGTTACCCTAAGTATATATACTTAACGCTTACCTAAATAGAAATTATTGTGATTTCTTCACTAATATAGATATAAAACTTAAGTAAAGTAACAGCCTAAACATTTCCCACTGCTTAATACGCTGCAAAGGCCCCCTTTGTAGCATATTAGTTCATAGTCCACCACGTGACCCTACTGTCTACACAAACTGTGGATTCATATTTCCTCACGATATTTTTATTTGACCTCCACCTCTGAGCAGTTGAACAAAAAAAATAACAATTTCATTAGTGCTGGCACCCAAAATTTGAACCCTAGTTTCTCCCGTATAATTAACGAATTACGAGAGCACGGACATGATCACAGTATAAAGTTATTTAAGATACAAATATCTTTGTTAGCACTACGTTTTCAGTGAAGAGTTTTTTTCCCGTGGGGAGGTGGGATAAGAGGTGTGCACATTAAAAACATTGTTAATATAATAAACGAAGCAGACAAAGCCGCGGATATAAATTTTAATAGGCTTTGCATTTCGTGCAATTTCATCAGTAAACATTCTTTTTTTCTCGTTATTTATTTAGAGGATGACAATATCTCCCCAACCATTTTCATTTTCATTATACAAAGATTGTGTAATTAAAATGACAATTTTTGAGTTTCTTAATAAGTCATTTTATAGCCGGTAAAATGAAATAAAATCACTGTTGTTTGATTACACTATTAAGAAAACTAAATTGTTTATTGACTAATAAATTGTGCACATACTTTGACGTGATCACAGGTGCAGCAATAATTCAACTGTATACGTTTTGCATTTAAATCCAGGTACAAATGGGCAAAGGTTGTAGATTCTGCGTCAGCAATGGATGAATTCACCTGATACGTTCAACCCACGCTTCGATTCGCATGAATATTGCATAACTGACACGAAATAAATTTGGTGCGGCGATATCTACTATGAGTGGATTACGCTTACTTTAAAATCGTACGTCATAGACGTTGTGTAGATATATTATCTAACCTATAAGAGTTCTCACGTTTTTGCCTTGATTCTAATATTTTAACTATTACTGAACTTGAATATTAACAACTATTATGACGACAAGTAGCACACACGACAAGACAAGGAGCACAGTTATATCACTGTCCGGGAACGCAGCCGAAAATCCAAGTGACCGCTGCTCCATGCGACCATGTGTCCCGTGGCTCTAGTAGATAACGTCATATCCGGTATACAGTGTTGACAGCGCCAACAAACCTTGCGATGTTCATATATCCGTCATGATAATATCTAATATTCTCTTTCTACATCTTCTCTTCACGAGGCCAGCCTCGTTTGCGAAAACTTCTGGAATTGACCAATACATACAGATTTATTAATTTTTATCTTTTGTTTATTTTTAAGCAACAGTTTCTGCTGTACGAATGAGCAGGTTTGGCTGGGAAAATACCACGGCTTTATATGAATATTAGCGATCCGCTCCGGCTTCGTATACATATAAACCTTCCTCTTGAGAAGGTTTACATATAAACCTTCTCAAGAGGAAGGTTTATATGTATAATCACTATAGATAGAGTAATTCTTGAATCGCTCTATCTAGTAAAAACCGCATCAAGATCCGTTGCGTACTTTTAAAGACGACTTTGTTTTATACTATATACTGATGGAGATCGGTGTTAAGTGGAGAAGTTACACTTTTTTGCCTCACTGCAGCCCCTTAGAAGTCTTAGTTTTGTTTTTTTATTCGAGAAGTTGATAGACGAGCAAACAATTCACATCACGTAAACTATATGAGAACACACGTATGTATCATTTAATTTAGTTTTTTTGTTAAATCTCTGTTTGCAACTTAGTGTTACTTATAATATAATATAGAGTAGTGCTCTGTTAAAACTCTCTGCGATGGTTGTGAAATAGTACTGCATTGTGACCAAAGACAAAAGACTCGAGAGATATGTGTGGTGAGATGGTTCACAGTAGTTACTCAATCTGCGAGATTAAAAATAAGCGCTGCTCACTCGTTGAGTAGTTGTTTGCAATTAGTAACAGCTTAGCGAGTTGAAAACGTAACTGATTGGTTCAGTTACGCTTTCAACTCTTTGGGGCCTTTGAACTTTAGAGAGATTAATGAAATTTTGATTCTAAAATTTATTTCGAGAGAAGCTAATGCCATGCGCGAAATAATTTAAAAGATGAATAAAGATATTAAATTACTTTCCAATACATACTTCTTTTCATAGACCTAAAGTGCGCCCTCCATGCCTCTTCGACATTTATACATTGGTTCACGCAGGCAAGAAAGCCGTACAAGTCTTAACTCATTTAAAAGTTATGATTATTTTGTTATTTTAATAATTAATTACTGCTAAAATATGTTATAATAATAATAAGTTAACATATTTTTTTTATAAAATATGTTTATTTTGAAATAAATTTTATAATTTATGATTATCAGCTAAGCTAACGATTCTGTATCTTATAGCTTCGTATAGCTTCTAGCTGGATTTGATACTGACAGCGGAAAAAAAAATTCGACAATATATCTATTAATCTCATATTTAAATTTAATTGTGATAATCATAAATTAAAAAAAAATGCAAAGACAAAACCTTTCGTGCAAATATTTATTGTTTTTGTTATTAATGAGGCACTGTATACCGAAGTTGAAGTTCGCCGCTAGTTTTGCGTCGTTAGGATATTGTAAGACAGGTTACCAAAAAGACGCAGGTTTAAATTCAGAGAGCACAGAATTGTTTTTTGCTATTTATCTATTACGCTCTTATTTCATTTGCCTTAACCCTTTACAACCGGACAGAAAAAGTTTAGATTTTTTGTAATTTGTGACATAGGACGTATGTATAGAGGAATAAGCTACCTAGGAAAAATGCTAAAAAAAATCGGAAAAGCCAGGTTTTCCTGAAAATCGCCTGCACGATCGTGCGCTTCAGGATTACTTTGACATATGCACATTCGTGCATCTCTATGGATTTGTGTGTATATTGAGGTAATTAAACAACATTTAAGGATTAAATCATATATTTTTAGAAAAAATAAGTATTCCATAATCGGTGTTACTAATTATTAATAATGAGTATCAGAAATAGGAACATTTTGTCACAAAACATTAACTTAAACTTTTTGAGTAGTAATTAAATCACAGTAGTATTTAAACTTTGAAGTAATCATTAAATTTTAACAAAAATAGTAATTCTTTATATCTAATAACATTTTTTGAACATTTAAAAAAGTAAAATTAAAAAACAATCAGTTAGTATGAAAATCTTTGAAGCAATTTTGTCCACGAATTACACAAAGATAAACGTTACATTTCAAGCAACGAATTTTCGTGCGGCTTTTACATGTTTCTAATTGGCAAAATCTAGGCGATTTTAGATCATCGAATACGGGCAAATGTTCGTACCCATCATAACGTAGTGTTGCCGACGGCTTCAAAGCTTTTTTAAATTTCCTCGGCATTAAGTTTTCCACTTCTTCCAAGCCTTCTGTGCGACGTTTTTCAGGGGAACTCAGTAAGATTCAGATAACTCAAGACGAAAATCTAATAAATCTAGTGTTTTATTCCGTCTGTAATTATTGGAAGTGCAATCGATTTTGTAAGCACGCCATGAGTTGACTAAAGCTAAATCATAAAAGTGAATCAACACTTTTAGTGTCCATTTCCGAGTTTTTATGAATGTTCGATAGTATTCAACCTGTTGGTCGAGAACATCCACTCCTCCCATGTATTTATTGTAATTTTGGATTATTTTTGGTGCAGTCACGTCAACATATGTGCGAGTTTTCTTATCCCATCTTTTAACCATATCTGTATAGTTTGATCCAGTGCAGTTAGAAGCTATCAAGACAGACTTATTGTCTTTCCACTTTACCAAAACTGTAGGGTCCCTCACCATCTGCTGGCTCTCACCTCGATACATTTGATTGTCTTTCTTGAATTTTAAACTAGTCTTATCTGGTATTCTATTCACCATGATAGTTCCAGTGCTGTGTAGGTTCTGCTTTTGTAATTCCTCTATTAATGGAATGGTGGTAAAATGTCTGTCGTGATATAAACAACTTCCTTCGGGAACGCTTCTTGATAAGTGCAAAACTACGGAGGGTCCAAGACCAAGATTAGTGTTGCCAGACATTGTCCTTAGCTCCTTGATAAATGTCAAAGTCTAACATAAGCCCATCACTTGTTGTCAAGACATAGTTTTTGAGACCAACTGGTCGTGGTTTATTTTTAACAACTTGTCTCAATGGGCATCGACCAGTGAATGGGATCATCTGCTCATCAATAGAGTAGTATCCTGGAATCCTTTCTTGCTTGTAACAACCATTTCGAACTTGATTTATCATAGGTTGGACTTTCCACAACGGATTTGTCGCCTGTCCAGGTAGTGCAGTATCAGTAGTTACAATATGCAGTGCATTTCGCAATTGTAAGAATCGATCGCGGCTCATTCTTCTCGTTATTTTATCCAGGGAAATGCCACTACGCCAGTACATAGGCAGCCTTGGGAATACATCCCATTAAAATATGAATACCAAAAAGTTTCTGTATCTCGGACTTTGTGGTTTTTAATTCATTCCCAGTCTTTCTCAAATAATATAAATTTTGTGCAAGTACTGACCATTTCATAAAACTGGTCATCAAAGTAATCCTGTACGTAATCGATTGGTTGTCTTACCGATTTAACAGCTCGTGCAGGGTACATATGCTGCTTATCTTCAAACGAAGTAACTCTCCAGCGGCGAGGGCGGGAACCCGAGCGACTCAGACGTTCAGTGGTTGGTGCTACAACAGTAGGTGCTGGTATGGACTGATCTGGTGCTGGACTGTCTTCCACCTGGTCATATCTTTGATTTTCAGCAAGTTCTTCGGGCAAATCATCGTCACCTAGATTGTCGAAGACAGCAGAGCCAAAAAATGGTTCCTCGTCGCCGGAGTCATTAAAAATCTCGATATCGGAATCATTACCGTCACCCGACACTTGTATGATCTCATCGTCATGTAAACGACCTAAAAAAAATTAAGAAAACACATAAATTACATCGTACAATAAAATAAAATAACACTGTAATTATATTAAAAAAGTATAAGGAACACCTAAAACACACGAACGTGCATCTTTTGATTTGATGCCGAATAAATCAATCAATAATTAACTCAAATACTAAAAATACGTATTAATATTATGAATTGGTTTATTACTAATTGAACTAAAAATTTTAATAATAATATTCCATTGAAAAACATGCGAAAATAATTACGTACTTGAAGCGCCGCGTCCGCCAAAATACGCCGCCATTTCCCACGGGGTACTGTGCCGCACTGACAAGCCACAACTTGTATTATTATTTTTTCTACGAAGCACTATATCATGCACGAGCGAGCGATGTCGGTTGCGTTCCGTAAAATAGGTTATGGGAAGCGCTAGAATTTTTCTAAGTTAAATGCACGCGTAACTATGAGCCGGTTGTAAAGGGTTAAGAAAAATGTCAGTTTCTTTCACATCTATATTATTTCAACACTATATCATAGAAATCTCAGGAGAAATGTCTGTGACACATATTTACCTGATCGCAAAGGTATAGGTTTCGGGTTCTATTTGAGATAAACCTATAATAGTTGTCGCGTTTGTAAATCAAACTATAATTGTTCAGCACAGGTAGATTGTTTATTTACACTTTAAAACAAATATGTTACATATACATACACAACGTTAGAACTCACACATACACAACAGAGATTTAATTGTCCAAATGTTAGCACTGGATTCGCAAGTTTTACGTATCGGTACAAGTGACGCAGTTTAATGTACGGAAGCCGTGAGCGCACACCGTATCGCGCGATGCAACGGCGCTTCCAACTCCAGCGCAGCCGCGACGCATCTCGTGCAGAAATATGTAAGTATAATTTGTAATACGATTAATATTTATTTATTATTTTTATTTAATATTCTTTTTCCTTTCAGGTGGCGTGCCACATCACTCCCCTACCGAGACCGGTTCACGGTCGATAGTATTTTGGAAAATGTACCGTTCTTCCGCTTCTCGTCTTTTTTTCAGTTTGCTGAGGTGAAGGGGGTGGTAGCTCGGGTGCGGTAGTCATCACTGGCATCTGGAATTCTTCGTCCCTGCAGATGACGTCTCTCGTGAGGTAAGCCGGTTTTATTCTGTCTATTGTAACAGTCATTTCTTTGCCTTGTACTTCTATTTTAAATGTTTTTGGGCCGTGTTCTAGGACTTTATACGGACCTGTGTACGGTGACTGTAGGGGACGTTTCTCAGGACCACGGCGCAGGAACACGAACTTACTTGTCCAGATATCTTTGGGTATATAGAATGGTTTATTCTTGTTGTGATTAGATGCAGGTACCGGTGCTAAACCAACTATATGTTTTCGCAGCCGTTCCAGGTAGTCACACGGATCTAAGGTATGTTCAGCCGCCGGCTTAAAAAATTCTCCCGGTAGTCTGATAGGCTCGCCGTAAACCAGTTCTGCTGACGAAGCTTTCAGGTCTTCCTTCCAAGCTGCACGCATGCCAAGGAGCACTAGAGGTAGCGCTTCCGACCATTGAGTTGCATTGTGACACGCGATGGCAGCTTTCAGTTGTCGGTGAAGCCTCTCCACCATTCCATTACATTGAGGATGGTATGAGGTGGTGGGGCGGTGCTCAGTGCCAATAAGTTTTGCAATACTTTGGAAAAGATGCGACTGAAATTGCTGACCTCTGTCCGTAGTAATTGATTCTGGGCATCCGTAGCGTGACACCCAGCCGGAAACAAAAGCTTTGGCGCACGTTTCAGCGGTGATGTCCGGCAGCGGGTAGACTTCGGGCCAGCGTGTGAAGCGGTCGATTGCAGTCAAACAGTACCTGAAACCATTACAATATGGCAGTGGGCCAATTAAGTCGATGTGGACTTGGGAGAAACGTTGTGACGGAATGGGGAACGTGGACAAAGGAGAGGAAGTATGACGGGTTATTTTGTTAAGTTGGCAATCAGCGCATTGTTTCGTCCAAGTTTTACAGTCTCGCCTTATTCCAGGCCAAACAAATCTTTCTGCGACTAGCTTAGCGGTAGCTGTAGCACCTGGGTGACTGAGTTCATGCATTTTTCGGAAGACTTGTTTGCGAAACCTTGGTGTAATGTAAGGTCGAATTTGTTCAGTCGAAAAAATCACAATACAGTTGATTGTTTGGCAACTTCTTTAGCTTCAGCGCGGTATCTTTTTTAAGTAGATCTTGCAGTTCAGGATCTTTTTCCTGATCTCTTGCAAGATCGGTAAAATCTACCGCTTGAGTTACTTCCTCGATTCTTGAAAGTGCATCAGCCACAACATTGTCTTTGCCTGGCACGTGTCTGATGTCTGTCGTAAATTGGGATATGTAATCCAAATAGCGGAATTGCCTTGGTGAGCATTTGTCTCTTTTTGTTGTAAACGCGAATGTTATTGGTTTGTGGTCTGTGTATACGACAAAATCTCTAGCTTCCAGCATGAACCTGAAATGTTTAATGGCTTCGTAGATGGCAAGAAGTTCCCTGTCATAAGGACTATAGTTTTGTTGTGCTGAAGAAAGTTTGCGGGAAAAGAAACCCAGTGGTTCCCACACGTTGTTCCTTTTTTGTTGCAGTACCGCTCCAATTGCTTCGTCTGAAGCGTCTGTAAATAAAGCTAGTTCTGCTTGTACATCTGGGTGTGACAGAAGTGTAGCTTTTGTCAGACTTTCTTTACATTTGTGGAAGGCTCTTAACATCTTGTCCGTCATGTTTATGGGTGTTGCTCCTTTGATGTTTCCTGTGAGTGCTTCGTTCAATGGGCTTTGGAGTTCGGCTGCGTGAGCGATAAATCTTCGGTAGTAGTTTACCATTCCCAGAAATCTTCGCAATTGTCTTGCAGTTTTAGGTGGTTCAAGTAGCTGTATAGCTTCTACTTTCTCTAAAAGGGGGCGTGTGCCCTCAGACGATACGTGGTAACCAAGAAACGTGACTTCTGGTACTCCGAAAGTGCACTTCGCTGTGTTAATAAGTACACCGTATTTTTTGAATCTATACAACAGTTGCTGTAAGTGATACAAGTGTTCTTCATCTGTTTTTGAGAATACCAGTATGTCGTCTAGGTACCCGTAGACGTAGTCCATCCCTTGCGTCACTTCGTCTATGAACCGTTGGAAGGTTTGAGCCGCGTTTCTTAATCCAAAATGCATAAATGGGAACTCAAAGAGGCCAAAAGGTGTGGTAATTGCTGTTTTCGGTATATCACTCTGTTCTACAGGGATTTGATTGTATGCCTTTATTAAATCAACTTTTGAAAATATTTTGGCTCCTGATAGCTGGTAAGCAAAATCATTAATATGACGAATTGGGTATCGATCTGGAATTGTCCTCGCATTAAGAGCTCGATAGTCTCCGCATGGACGCCATCCATCGTCTTTCTTCCGCGCTAGGTGTAATGGCGACGCCCATGGGCTCTCAGATCGACGTGCAGTTCCGTTGTGCAACATCTCATCGAATTCCTTTTTGGCAATTGCTAGACGATCAGGAGCTAGTCGGCGTGGACGTGCGTTCACTGGCGGTCCAGGAGATGTTCTGATGTGATGCTTGGTACTATGTTTGGGTACGGTAGGAGTACCTGCAGGTCTTGTAATTTCTGGATATTGTTTCAGTAGATCATGAAATGGTGAATTTCCAGAAACTGCTTTAACTGTGACATTTTCATCCCTGGTTATGTTCCGATGATCGATGGACACTGACAGGCTGGTGAGATTGTCAATGAGGCGATGGTGTCGACAGTCCACAAGCAAATTGTAGTGGCTTAAAAAATCAACACCAATTATCGGCTTTGTTACATCTGCAACAACAAACTTCCAAGTAAAATCTCTCCTCAGCCCGAAATCCAGATGTAACTGTAAATAACCATAAGTGGATATCGTTGTGTTATTTGCAGCGAATAGTTCGAACTTTGTTTTGTTACGATGGCCTGCGGTCGCCTTTTTCGGGTAAACACAGAGGTCTGATCCCGTATCTACAAGGAATTCTATCTTTGTCTTCTTTTCTGTTATAAAGAGGCGGCCGTTGCACTCATCAAGGCAGTCATTAGCCGCCACTACTGGCTGCCGTTGGCATTTCCCTGCTGGAAACCACATGGTTTTGTGCACTTATACGCACGGCTACCGAACTTGTTGTGGTAGTAACAAATATCACTCCTGCTTTGAGATCTTGAACGAGATCTTGACCGTCTTCGGTAAAATCTCCTTCCCGGTGGGTGGTTCTGACGTGCGCTTAATGCAGCTACTTGCTTTGTTAGCTCTGTTATCTGCTTTGCCATCGCTTCCATCGCTACCCAAGTCTGGTTCAAAGCGCCTGAAGTAGAAGGCGTTATCTCTGCGACTTGAGGTGTTGGAGCAGCTATCGCAAGTATTTTATCTGCCAATTCTGCCAACTTTTCTATGGGCATGTCACCGTGCGACGCTATAATGGGCTGTATGTTCTGTGGCAGTCGGCTGTGCCATGTCGTGCGTATGAGTTCTTCTGGTATTTGCGGTCCAGCCAGATGTTGAAGGTGCCGCAAAAATTGGGAGGGTTTTCTATTTCCCATCTCCTCACTACTAAGAAATTTTTTTATCTCTTCTTCACGGGGAGCCGATAGTCTACGTATTAGTTCTGCTTTTAAACGTTTGGTACTTATTCTCCTTTGGAGGGTTCTCAATAATGTCGCCCACTTCCACCGCGTATTGGTGATCTAAGTTGCTGCACGCAAAATAAAATTTGGTAGTATCCGAATTTATACCTGATAATATAAATTGGCCTTCTAGTTGCGCGAACCATAAAGCTGGGCGATCCGGCCAGAATGGGGGCACCTTGACACCGACTCGAAATAATTCTGAACCCGTTTGTAAATTTTCAGTGTCGGCCTTATGCGGCGGGACCGTCTCCTTCACCGGGTTGAGTTCACGTGGACGCGACATCTTTTGTTTGTTGAAAAATTGCAGGTAGGTCTTACTTTAAGGTCCTCAGATCACGTCGGGGTCACCAGTTTATAGGTTTCGGGTTCTATTTGAGATAAACCTATAATAGTTGTCGCGTTTGTAAATCAAACTATAATTGTTCAGCACAGGTAGATTGTTTATTTACACTTTAAAACAAATATGTTACATATACATACACACGTTAGAACTCACACATACACAACAGAGATTTAATTGTCCAAATGTTAGCACTGGATTCGCAAGTTTTACGTATCGGTACAAGTGACGCAGTTTAATGTACGGAAGCCGTGAGCGCACACCGTATCGCGCGATGCAAC